GGTTGCTGACCCCCCTATCCAAACCTTATTCTTGTATACTACATGCAACATTTATTTCCATTCCTAGGTATTGGTTTTCATATGACAAGGGCAGTCCCCGTGCCATGACCCCCCAGACCTACGTCTGGTTCCTTATCACTCATCATACATTTATAATGATTGCATTATTTGTAATATCTGGAATGCTGATTTTTACCGCAGCCTTGAAAAGCATGCTGATAAGAAAAAAGACAACAGCCCAGAGATGCTTAAGTGTCTTTATCTTGATTTCCTTGCAATTCAGTTGCAATTTTGGCCATTTCTGTTCCATATGAAAAGTTGCTGGCAATTTGTACTTTTTTAAAAAAAAATAGGGCAACCCACGAATATGGCAAATATTTAATGACAAAGAATATTCAATGACTGGGGGAATCATGTACAGAAAATAGCTGGCAGTCAGATGTTACATATGCAAAGCAGCTGTACTGTGTGACTGAGGACAGCTGTATTGCCTGGAGTCCCATATTCAGCCATCCACAAGTTCTCCCAACTTAAAGGATGTGTCACGTCATTAGGCTTTTTGAAGTTGGATGAGAGTTAGGGAACATTTAAAAAGTTGAAAAGTGCTGCAGAAGCTGCTTTGGGGAATATGAGAACATTTCGAACTCTCGTTAGGAAGCTTAAGGACACGATTAAAACAGGTTCAAAAGATAAAACCTCCCTCAAGTCAAGCTTGACTCTGGGTGACCTTATGGATCAGACCTGGGTTTTTTTCTTTCTTTCTTTCTTTCTTGGCAACGCTGCAAAATTGTTGCTTTTGTTCTTCTCCACTTGCTTGTCTAGCCTACAGCCTTGGTATCTTCTGGCAGGCAGTCATCCAAAAAGAACTTGTGTCTGATTCTGCTTAGCGTTTTTTTTAACGTCAGCCAAGTTTAGTTCGGTTTTTGCCACTTTAGTTCAGCTTTGCCACGTTGGTGGCTCAGTGACTAAGACGCTGAGCTTGTCAATCAGAAAAGTCAGCAGTTCGGCGGTTCGAATCCCCTAGCGCCGCGTAATGGAGTGAGCTCCCGTTTCTTGTCCCAGCTTCTGCCAACCTAGCAGTTTGAAAGCATGTAAAAATGCAAGTAGAAAAATAGGGACCACCTTTGGTGGGCAGGTAACAGCATTTTCTGCTCCTTCGGCATTTAGTCATGCCGGCCACATGACCATGGAGATGTCTTTGGACAAGGCTGGCTCTTCAGCTTTGAAATGGAGATGAGCACTGCCCCCTAGAGTCAGGAACAATCGCACATTTGTGCAAGATGAACCTTTACCTTACAACCATCTGGGTTGCTAGGAGCCCACTTTGGGTGAATTGAACCTTGTGAATCTAACATTGTGAAGCTTTTTGTTATTCAGGGACAAAGATAAAACTTTTAAATAAAAGGGGACATCCACCCCAGAAAACCCATATATATATATATATATATATATATATATATA